AGAATGTGATCTTTTAATTAAACAAAAACAAAAACACTTTGAGAATGTTTTAAATGATATTCTTATTGACATGTTTGCCGCCTTGGGCTCCTTTGGGAGGAAGAGCAGGATATAAATTGAATTGTTAATAATTATTGTTATCGCATTCAAATTTTGTTCCTCTCTGTGGAATTGTGTGAATAATGAAGAGTAGGTTACAGATAATTAGAATGAAGAAATAAAATTTCCGTTGCGTTCTGAGGTGTGGTCTACAAATGCAGCAATGGCGAGGACCATATCTCAGCAGCAAAGATTCTACAGAATTACTATTATTATTATTATTATTATTATTATTATTATTCTACCTGAAGATCTATGGGAAGTTCACAAGATCAAATCACAAAATAGAAGCACAAAAACTGCCTGGCTGGCCTAGGTATGATGCATGGCAGTAATCTAACCTAGAGGTCACAGGTTCATTCTTTGTTTAAAAAAAAAAATGATATTTATTAGAAGTTTAAAAGTTACAGAAAGAAAAAAAGAACAATAGAAATTTAAACAAAACAACACAATACCTTACAATACATTAAAAAAAAACAAAAAGAAAAGAGAAAAAACAATACAATAAAACAACGAAAAAACAGAGCAAAAACATTTAAAAACACATCCAACCTTTCCATGTCTTTACCTTTCATATATGGTACTTGTTTCATCGACCTCCTCACACCTCCCTTTTTTGTATTCTAGTTCAATTAGCTATTTCAGCAAGTCCTTTCCATCTTTCTCAATTTTCGTTCTAAAATTTAACTTAAGACAGTCTAACCTTAAGTTTTCCACTTTGGTCCATTAACAATCTACTTTTACTTAATTCTTTATAACATTTCTGCTAAAGCCATATAACTTCGTTCCAGCATCCTTCTAACATTCATTAATTTTGCAATATTTCTGTAAATATACTTTAAATTTTTTCCAATCTTCTTCCACCGACTCTTCTCCCTGGTCTCGGATTCTGCCAGTCATTTCCGCCAATTCCATGTAGTCCATCAGCTTCATCTGCCACACAGGTTCATTCTTTGGCATATCTGCCTAAAACTCTGGAGAGGCGCTGCCAGCCAGTGTAAACAACACTGAGATAGATGAACCTACGATCTGATACAGTATAAGGCAGCTTCCGATTTTACTAGGTTATCCGTGGCTGGAATAAGTCACTTCAGACTACAGGCGGGGAATGCGTAAATGCTTTCCCAAAGGAGAGATCTGTATTAATAAATACATATTCTCAGCACAAGGCTGATGGTATAAGCACATAAAGAAAGAGGGAAAGGGGTGATATTTTGACAGATCGTACAGTAAGAATTAAATGTATCATAGCGGGAAATCTAGCAAGCTTGCAGTTAGGCTGAATGAAAATACGGGTGATGGGAAGTTGGCAGTATAAAGAACAAACATAGAAATACCCAAATAACTGGGGACTTTTGCAGACATTAGGATAGCACGCTGGTGGGGGTTATAATTAGGGAGAAGGGAGGCATTTTGGAGAACCAGTTGGCTTCCATCGTCACCATATAGGCATAGCTGTCAAGCATCCCTTATTTGGTGGGACAGTCCCTTATCCCAGCGCCATGTCCCACTGCTGTCCCTTATTGATGATGTCCCTTAAATAAGCTACTGAAGGTAATGGGGCCCTTTCTATGGCCAGCTGTGCTTTGTCAACAACAAATTGTTGCTTTTTTGTGTTGAATATATGCTATATGGTAATTTATGGACCTAATAGGTATCTAAAGCCATTTGCACGCAACAAAATATGTATTTTATCAAAGTAATTGTTGATCCCTTATTTTGGCTGCTGATCCCTTATTTTCAAGGCTGCTGGTCCCTTATTTTCAAATCTGTAAGTTGACAGCTATGCATATAGGAAACCTAAAAATTGTTTCTGGGGGGAAAAGAGTTGGATAATTATGGGGTGCTCTCTCCCCCTTGGACATTGGTGGATTGCTGCTGTGTTAGATTATCCACTGGGATGGGCTGACCGGTCACCTCAACTAGTAGAACGTTGTGTCTTTGAAAGTGTAATAAACTTTTGTTTCATATTCTCGTGCGAAGCTGTGTGTGTGCTTTTAAGAAATCTTTCTTGAATTGAAACTCAGTTGTCTCGACTCAAACCAACTTGGGCTACAGGTGCAGGAGTCCCCAGGGACGAGGGAAGATAATGGTAGCCACGAGGCCGTAGCATACCTATGAAGCCCCATGCCAAAGCCACTTCCGCCCTATGGAGGAGGTGGGGTTTCAGGCTTCACGGCCCCACCACGTGCGTGGCGGCTCGAGCCCAGACCCTGCGCAATTGGGGGGATTCCCGGCCGTGTCGCCCCCTGGCTGGCCAATCGGCTGGCTTGGGGGGCATGGCGTGCCCTATTTAAGGCAGGACGCGGCCGGGGATCTCCCTCTTCCCACCTGCCAGCTGTTCCTGCTTTTCCCACCCTCCCGCCCTTTTAGGTTTTCGTTCCTTGACCTTGCTATGGACCTTGGTTGGTCACCGTCAAGGGGCCTGGTAGGAATTTTTCCACTTGGCAAATTGGCACCAGCCACTTGGTTTTCGCCTACATCGTAGCAAATTGTCACAACTCTCTTGGTATTGGAGGTTAGGCATTGGTATAGTTCTGTAGACGGAAGAGGGGAGGTAGCGCCATCACCTGCCCTGCATATTGAAGGGGAGTCCGATAAAGGATTCCGGGGGGTGTGGTCCTGTCCGAAGCCTGGGGAGGTGAGGGCCTAAGGCATGCCCCCTATCAGTGACCCCAGGGGAGTTCCTAGTTGATGTGCATCAGCAGGACTCCCCCTACAGGTGGTTAACCCTTCCCGGACTTCAAGCAGATGGGCTGGAGTCAGAGATAGTCGTTTAGGACCAATGCCTAAGCCAATACCGCTCATCACCTGTAACCAATAAAGTTGTGGCTTTATTTAGCCCATTAACCTTAATAATTGTGTCATGTGTCTTTATTATCACTGGGGGGGGGCAGGAACTCGACACGCAAATTACTAATCCCATACAACAAAATCATACACCCCACAGACAAACTGAACAATGTTTGTAGTTACTTGTCTGAACTGAGGGGGGTGATAGATGAACTTTTAGCATCCGTGCCTCAGGAGCCTGTGTCAAACAGAAGTAGTCTCACTACATATCTACTGCAAGGCCTCTCTTGCCACAACTGCACCAACACCCTGCTAAAGCTGCTGCAAATCTCTCTGTGTGTGTGTGTGTGTGTGTGTGTGTTTCCCCTGGACCGGGCACCATCTGGATATTATTTTGAGCAAACTTTCTGTAACATTAACACATCCTGAAAATGCCGGACAATGAGACCAGCTGCTTTTCCAATCCCAGGGGACGGATTTCTGCCTAAGCCGCCTGTGTTCTGAGGAGCTGCATAATCTGGCTCTTTGTAGCTCCTGTCTTTTCATAATAGCCAACTCAGCTGGGAAATCAAGGCCTTGGAGTTTCAGCCTAACCCCTGAGTGCCGTATTAATTCAGATTCTGTCAAAACTCCAGAGATCTGTATTGTAGCGGATCTCAGGCTGTGATAATGATTAAGTTGTAAATAAATAAACCAAGTGAAATGTGGTTCAGGGGCCATTTCCTCCAGATGAGACAGTTGCAGGGGAATTTTCTTGACATGGAAGCAAGACTTCTGCAAATAGCCTTGTTCTATGCACTCCAGCAAGTCATGAAGGCTAGCCATTAAGGGCTTCTGAGGACTATGACCCACCAGCCTCAGTCTGCCCTCAACCAGCCTCTGACCGGCCTGCCTTCGTACTTACAACCAGTCAGAATCATAGAGTTGAAAGGCTGGGCATATTTTTTTGGTTTCTAATCAGTGCATGTCCCTGGGGCAGTATAGAATCATAGAATTGTAGAGCTGGAATAAACCACAAGGGTCATTGTTATGTACTGAGTTGAATAGAATCCAAAATGCAGCAGTCTGACTAGTCCTAGAACAATAGAATTCAAAATGCAGCAGTCTGATTGGTCCTAGAACAATAGGATTCAGAATGTAGCAGTCTGATTGGTCCTAGAACAATAGGACCCAGAATACAGCAGTCTGATTGGTCCACAGGAGCCACCCAATCCAGCTCCAGGTGGAAGTGAATCCGCAGCCTGATTGGCCTACAGGAGAATCCTGAAATTAGCCAATCACGTGGGGCCCATTGTATAAATAATGTATATAAAGCAGACATGTATATAAAGCTTCCATTCCTCCTTACCACTATGAGCTGAATAAAGAGCATGAAATCCACTCTCGACTCCGAGTATATTTCAGTCATCTAGTCCAACCCCTTGCAAAACAGGAATCTTTTGCCCCATGTGAGGCTTGCACCCACAACCCTGAGATTAAGAGACTCAAGCTTTACCGACTGAGCTATCCAGTAGCTTCATGCTGAAATCCTGTAACTTTTTATACCACAAATGTTCCAGTTTAAAGACTGAGGAGGAGTCCTGAGCCAGCCTCAATATATTCCTCTAGGGGCGGACGCAAGCGATGCCCATTGGCCAGTTGGGCCCGCCCCCTAGTGAATCCCCAGACCCAGGCCTGCCTGCCATTGACCAATCCGCAGGCAGGTCTGCAGTCCTCCCCAGCCGGCTGCCAAATCATCATCGTGGGCCACGGCCAGGCCAAATCACCGCCTGACTATTAAGCGGATTCTCACCCTGGATGAAATTTACACTACTTTTGTACATGGGGGTTCTATGTAAGAGTGAATAAGGGTGGGCCAGCCACTCATCGCCTTTTTCCCAAGAGTGCTGCTTGCAAATGCTACAACCATAGCTGCTACCTTAAAAAAAACACTTCTGGCTTGGCAACTGCAGGGTTCTCTGGTACACTTTAGGCAGCTGGATTTGACCTTGCTCACCCACACGCTATGTAACCCATTCTTCTCCCCAGTGTTAATTCATTTGCTTACTACCTACTGTCAGAGATGGGCTTCTTTTATTTTTTATTTTAAGTGTTCAGTGGGCAGCAAGACAAGGCAATTCAGAATTAAAGGCCCGTTCTGGCTTAAGTAACCCGATAAAGAATACTAAACGAGATTTATTGGCTCGGTGCTCACATAAAGCCAGCAAAGACCTCCAAGTGTTGAAAGACTCCAGGACTTGCAGAAAATCACCCATCATTTCCCAAATAATGAACACGATCTGTAAGGAAGTTCTCTTCTGCAAGGTCCCATTGAAATGAAGAGGAGAACCTGGTACGATTCATTTCATTGAGGCCTTCGTAGTGCTGCCTACGAAGCAGATACTTCTGCCATTTTAAATATACCCTTAACACCTTGACTCAAAGATCTCCATGTTGTCTGTGAAAGCATCCTAGGTGGAGGCATGGATCACAGTAGCAGCTCCCCGACCCCAGCAAGAGGCATAAAACCACTCTTTCTCTGGCCAATCCAGCTCTTTCTATGTTGTTCAGCTTGTTTTGCCCTCTCATGTCCTAATGAGGCATTAAGTTCCTCTCTCCTCAGCCTTTCCACATAACACCTGCTGTTCCCTCTCTTCTGGTCTTTCTCCCCTCCTTCCCCAGCGAAACAACAGTCCCAAGTGACTCTTGTCTCAGTAATTAATCTATCCATTAGTGCACTAAATTACATGTTCGATTGCTCTGACCTCTGGCTTCCTTGCTTCCCTGCTAATTCCCCATAATAGAAGACTCGCTTTTGCTGGGGCTTTTTCTGGCTATTGGTTAAAAACACAAAGGTATGCCATCCATACTTTACATGTATGGATGGCAGCATGCAGTCAAGCCAGGGAGATTTCCCAAAAGATAGGGAACCTAAGAGCCTGCTGGGATTTTTGTGTGTGAGGTACGTTATTAAATGCTTTCAGAAAGTCTAAGTATAAAATGACTAGCCCTAGCCATACGTTCACTGTCAGAGAGCTCTAAGAAGTCATATAAGCCATACCCTTGCAAAAGCCATGCTGGTTCTTCCTCAGCAAGACTTGTTCTTCTATAATTTCAGTAATTCTCTCTTTAATCACACTTTCCATGAGCTTTTCTATAAGTGGCAGTAAACTAACCAGTTTGCAATGTCCCACACACTCCTCAATCTCTTTTTAGAATTTTGTCTTACACTGGTGATTTATTTGTTTTCAGATTGATGAAAAGGCCTAGAACATTGTCTCTGGTCAGCACTATTTGGCTGTGTACACATTACTCCAGCTCCAGTTCGCTTCCACTGCTGGTGTTTGAAGCTGAGTACACCTGACATTATCCACAATCCGTGGGTTCTTAAGGAATACTCCTGTTTGATGTGTTCTCCTTCAAATCAGCTTCCATCCATTTTGAAAAGGAATCTATGGTTAAGCTGAGGCATGTACCAACATGAGCAGATGACAGCTTCAGTGAATTGGAGTTTGGTGCAGGGAAACAAATCAGGTAATGGGCACTGGGTGAAGACTTCCCTGCCCCCTCTCTGTATAGCAACACAAGATTGTGACTTGAAACCTTGCTGCGTTTCAAGCCCCTAACATATTCGTCACCTTTGTCTCAGTTCCTCAGGCTCTCTTCTTGGAAAAAAAATTAGTTGAGCCACCAAGATCTGTCCCCTCTCTTCTGCAGTGAAGACAGATGCAAAGATTGCATTCAGTTTCTCTGCCATCTCCTGCTGTGAGGACAGAGGCAATGATTGCATCCTGCTTTTCTGTCCTCTCTGTTCTGCTGTGAGAACAGACACAAAGATTGCATTCAGTTTCTTTGCAATCTTTAGCACATCTTTGACTCCCTTGTTCTCCAAATGTCCAGCTGCCTCCCTTACATGTGTCCTAAGTGTGCCCTGTATTCCAAATGGATATGCAATGTGTAAGAATGTGAGCTCATGATGCAGCAATACTGAGTTGGACCATTAGTCCACCTGGCCCTTTGGATCAGCTGTGGCTGGAGTGGCTCTTTGGGGTGGGGACATTTTTCTAACTGTGCTATCTGAGATCCTTTTCGCTGGAGATTGCATGCAGACAGCTCCAGGTTCAAAGCACATGCTCCATCTCTGAGCTGCACCTCTTCTGAAAGATAAAGGGGCTTCATATGAACCTATAAAGATCCTTTATTGTGGGGGGAGAACCACAGCTAAGAGCATTGGACCAGGAACCCCAGTATTCTTGGTTTTGATTGGCAGTGACTCTCACAGTGTACCGTATTTTTCGCTCCATAAGACGCACCTGATCATAAGACGCACCTAGTTTTTAGAGGAGGAAAACAAGAAAAAAAATATATTCTGAACGAAACAGTGGATGTATGATTTTTTGTAGTTCATGCTGTGGCCACAGACATGTGATCTGATGGTGAATTTGGGGTGACCCAATGCAAAAATCCTGAGGATCCATGGGCTTTTACCTCCCTGCTCCCAGGCAGCCTCCTTTATCACTAGCCTCCCTTATCTCCCTCCCAATCGCTTGCCGATCAGCTGCTTCCCTTCAACACTCCCTTCCCTCTTGTTTGCCTTAGTGTCTTTTCCTTAGCTGGAGCAGTTTTTTGCACCTCCTTTTCTTCTAATTTCTCTCCTTATTGCTTTAGTCTTCCTGTTTCCCCCTTTTTGTAAGTTTGCTGTCTTTACCTCCCCCCTCACAGGCAGCTTCCTTTATCTCTAGCATCCCTTATCTCTCTCCTCGATCGGCAAATGATCAGCGGCTTCGTTTCCACACCCACTTCCCTCTTTCAAAAAAAAAAGCAAGCATGATCTGCTTTTTGCCCTTGGGCAATTAGGCTCCAGGGACCACACATTCGCTCCATAAGATGCACAGACATTTCCCCTTACTTTTTAGGAAGAAAAAAGTGTGTCTTATGGAGTGAAAAATACGGTATCTCAAACTTGGGTCCCCAGCTGTTGTTGAGCTACAACTCCCATCATCCCTAGCTAGCAAGACTAGTGGTCAAGAATGATGGGAGTTGTAGTCCAACAACCAGTCCAAGACCCAGGTTTGAGAAACACTGCAAGATGGTCTTGGGCAGAGGTTCCTCTCAGTGTCTCCTACCTAAGATCTTGCAGAACTGTATCTTCTAGAGGAAAGGACACAATGTACCACAAAGTTATGGCCTTTATTTGCCCAAGAGTTCAGACTTTTCTGAGAACTGAACTTAGGACCTCTCTCACCCATGAGAATCGTGCTCCTAGATCCACAAACCTGACCTTGCTGGCTGCTTCAGTGAACACTTCCCTTCCCTAACTAAACTCATTTAAGATGTTTGCTGTGCTGTACATCTCAGCATATCCCTGCCTTGAAATTTGCCTGCAATGGATATTGCTCTGGCTGTACGGATCATTGAGCAGAGAAGAACATTTATGACCTTCCTTGCCCTTCTCCAATGATCAGGAGGAAGTTGCAACTTATGCGCCCTGGTAATGAGGTGCTCAAAGAGAAATCTCCATAGCTCATGGGAAAAGATATCAATCGAGCAGTCTTGCTGACCCAGCCTCTTCATAGTTGCTTAGCATATGAATTCCTCTGTGCTTGACCGGCTGCTGGGGCTCAGCATTCAAACATGTACATATTATATGGATTGCCTGTATGTGGGTTCAAATGATACAATTATCATCAAGTGGGGAGTCATTTGGAGGTGGGTCCCCCCCCCGAGTTACCGTTCAACCAGATTTATTTTCCATCCACTTGTACAACAGGTTTTGGGTATTTTTTTTTATCTCTAGACAAAGTGTCACAGACCAGTCTGAAACAGCTATTCCTCTGCTACATGCGCCAATCTCCTGTCTGTACTAAAACAAAACATTAGGTGTTCCCAGCCACTATCAGAGTTCTTGTGATGGACTGACCTTAGGTCAGCCTCCTGGTGACCCAGGAACCAATCAGGGCTGGGTGGAGCGTCATCCAATCTAGAGAAAGAGCAAAGAGTTTAACATTGGAACCTGTCAGCAGAGGTAGTTTTAGGGTGCTACAACTGGTACAGCCGCAGTCGGCGCCACACTGCAGGGGGCACAAAAACAATGCTTTGGAACAGAGCACATGAGGCAGGGGGCGCCAAATTTTAGCGTCACACGGGGCGTCACTGAAATCTGAGAGCCTAAAGTCTGTCACTGCAGTTAGGTAGGGCTTGACTGTCTTTGGAACCTCAGATAGGGGCTTATCTGTCAGTCTGTGCTAGTTAGGGCTTTGAAAGTGCCTAGATAGGGTTTCGTTCAGAGCCTTGGTTAGAGATGAATTGAGGATTAGCAAATCAGGGCAACCCAGATGGTTTGGTAAGGCTCCTAGAAGGAGCTGGGAGTGTCTTACTCGTCGTGTAAGACCAATAGCCATTCTAGGAGGAGTTAGTCTGTTCAGAGGGATGTTTAATGTGTGAATTTAGAGGAAGTTCTTAGCTATTTCCGTAAAGTGTGTTCTCCTTCATGGAGAGCACGTGTTGCGGTGGGGGCAAGCAAGACATCCC